CCCCACGGCCGTCGGTACTTCCGTTGCCTTTTTAAACTCGGCGCGGTTTTCTTTGCCGACACGTGTTTTTTTTGCCCATTCGTTACTGCTCAATGGTCACATGAACGTACTTACGCCCCCCACCCCCCCTGGACCCCCACCAAAAAAATAAAAAGGCTTGTTAGAATTTTCATTCTATATGGAATAGATATAGAATGCAATGAATATATTTGTACCTTCCTGGATCGCTGAACGATGCGGCCGTTCATTCATTCATTCATTCTATATTTTATCTGTAAGGAATAGAATGATCATTTTTAACCCCGCTTTTTTTAACCCCGCCTATTTTAAACCCGCTTGTTTCAACCACAAGTACATCCGAGCCTCTTTTTTTTTTGTACATCCCAGGCAAATACACCCCCCGCCTCTCCCCCCCGCTGTGCACCAAGCTTTCAATTTGAAATTTGAAATTCCCCCTGTGCACCAAGCTTTGGCGAAATGCCGGCGCGGCGTTTTTCGTTTGCGTTTTGTCTTTTTCTGCCAGCCATTTTGGTCTGGGTGCCCGGGGCTAGGTCCCACTCACGCGAATTATTAAGCGATATTGACCGTAGATAGCAAAGATCAACGGCCAGAATCTCTTAATCCGTGCAAGTGGGACCTTGCCCCCGGAGCCTCCAAACTTTTTGGATTGAGCCCATCTTTTTTCTCAAGTTGCCGGGGTCCATGTACCGGTGGTTTAGTTTTTTTTTTTTTTTTTTTTTTGGAAGAATTGTCTGAATTGTAATCATTTATTCCAATAAAAGTCAGGGCCGGGAAAACCCCACAATCAACCCGGAGGAAAAACTGGGGCCAATACCCAGCATAGGTTTAGTATTTTTCTCTCCTGTATGTATGTCATAAATTTGTATACTATTTTCTGAAGTTTCTGTTCACTGGTTTTTTTTTTTTTTTTTTTTTTTTTTTTTTTTTTTTTCCACTTGCCTTTGGACATCTTCATTCTAAAACGTAGAATGACTAGAAGATGTTTTTCTTCTTCCTTTTTTTTTTGTGAGAATGACGTGTGATGAACATACTGACACCTGCCTGGGGACTGCAGGTAGGGTACATATTCATTCATTCCTTCATTCATTCCTTCATTCATTGAATTTCATTCTATAAATATATAAACCCATAGAATGATTTTAAAAAAAAATTTAGACTTTTTTTATACCTGCCTGATAGCTGAATAACATCACAGGTGATAAACACAAAATCGCTGAAAAATGAACATTTTGTAGCGCTGTTCCGATCAGGACTGCAATTAGGAGGCCGACAACAGAACCGGTTTGAGCTGGGACTTATCCGTTTGAGCTGGGACTTATCACGGCATGCTGGTAGAGTGTCAGTAGCCAAGACTCTAGTAGGTTTTTTTTTTCGGCAATAATGCACGTCACTGGTGCGGCAAATCACTCGGCTATTTGGCTATTTGGCAAGGGACATCAGTCGTGAGGCAAGCACTCGGGTACGAGCTTCGCTGCGTCAGAGATGTGGCGAGGGACTTGGCTATGGACATCAGTGGTGTGGCAAGCAATTAGCTATGGATTTGAGTGGTGCGGGAAATCACCTGGGCGGCTGGGCCCTGGCTATTTGACTATGGACACCAGCAGTGTGGCAAATCACTGGGCTATTTGTCTATGGATGTCAGTGGTGTGACAAATCACTTGCCACTATTTGGCTATGGACGCAGTGGTGTGGACAAATCACCTGGGTATTTGGGTATGGATGTGAGGGGTGTGGCAACTCACTTGGCTACTTGTCTTTCGACGTCAGTGGTGTGACAAATCACTTGGCTATTTGGACATGGATGTCACTGACGTGGCAAAGCACTTGGCTATTTGGCTATAGACGTAAGTGGTGTGGCAAAACACTGGGCTATTTGAGTATTTGGCTAGGACATGAGTTGTGTTGCAAGCACATGGGCATGATGGACGTCAGTGGTGTAGTGCCAGTGAAGTACTCGGAAGTTGGATCTGGAGGTTTATTTAATTCAAGCGTGGTAGACAGATGTAACTGGGAGCTTTGTTCTCATCTCACCACTGCCCAGCTTCAGATCAAGCCCTTGCTCTCTCTCTCTCTCTCTCTCTCTCTCTCTCTCTCTCTCTCTCTCTCTCTCTCTCTCTCTCTCCATCTAGATGTGTATAAGAGACAGATATTCGTGGGGGGCGTCACGTGCTGAAAGCACGAACCTGGCTATTTTGATGGCCAGAGTCTGTTTTTTTTTTTGTTGTTGTAACTTTTCATAGAACAAACACATCACCCGTTGTACCGGCCGGCCCCTGGTCGTCTTCTGAATCAATGTTCAGGTGACTGTTTCCCCTGCTACCACCGTCGGCCGGGGAAGGTGATGACATGATGTCGCATTATCGCATACAGATGGTTGATTTTCTTTTCACTGGCAATGTGGATTTAACTGGATTATCGTGGAGAGTTGAAACAGAAACACCGTTCTCGCTTATTTATTACTATGTGGTAATGAACCCAATTTCAGAAACTCACAAGCTGGTCACACATGAACTTTGAATGACGATAAAATCAACGATAGCAAGCAAAGAAAGCTCAATAACATACCGACCGAGTCGCCTGGCAGCTATCGTGATTAACGATGAGCAAGTTGAACTCTGTCGCTATGTCATTGAGCTCTTTGCTTGCTATGATCGACATTGATCGTGATACCCATGAGCAGAAGACTTTGTGAAGATCAAGAGCACGAGCCAGGAAATATCTTCCATACTAAAACTTATCAAGTAATTTAAACATTTAGTACAATTTTCAACTTGTTTCGCCCTCTTCTCCCTTGGCACCTCGTCCTCTCTAGCCGCCTCCAGGCTCAAGCTATCCTCTATCCTCTATCCACTGGCTATGGAGATGGAGATGGAGATGGAGTCTTCTCCCTACTCCTGCACTGGCAATTTGGCAAACCAGACACATGTCGTTCTCCCAACCCCGCTCTCTCTCTCTCTCT